GCAGGCCTGCATTGTGTTACTGTGCTCAGAATTGGAGCAAATGAGGAAAAAAAAGTCTTGCATGTAAATCAGGAATATGTCTCTGGCTGGTACACTGCCTTATTAGCAAAAAAATATAATAATATTTGGTATTTATTGTTTCCCTGCTTTATGTTTTCCCTAGCAGTGGCTGCAGGGTGAGGATGGTGTACACGCCTGACTGTACAGGACTGCACAGGCTGCCTCCAACCACACTGAACAGCAGGGCAATGGAAGGCTGACGCCGAGCATCCCCACCACCTCTCATGACAACCGATGGCCAGGCTTGGAGCTGCTGCAAACGTCACCTCCTGCTTCATTCAGACACAAAGGCAAAAGGTATTGCTGCCTTTTTTCCTCAGCTCCTGGGGTGTGTTTTCACTGTGCTTTCAGTTTTCTTTCATGATGAATGTGATGCTTGAGCACTTGGCTTCTACATACACTGCTGAGAGAGTCAGCGTTTAGAAAATGTTCTTAAAAATAAGAGAGAAGATGCCCCTGCATTGCCATGGCACCAAGATGAGGCCGGTATTTGAGACAGTTGACTTCTCTGGTCAGGGACTGTCATCAACGAATCTCTGTTAATTGAAGTGCTCAACACCTTTCCATTGAAAGAAGTTCCCTCTTTCAAACATATTGTCATTTTGAATGAGAATTAATTTACAGAATTATTTTAAAAACTATTTTGGCTTCTTCTGAGTTCCTCAAAAGTCTTTGCTCTACCTTTCCTTAAAGGCATGTGCCTCTAAGCTGCCTTTGCAATCCAGAGAGCCCCAAGCAGCACTGCGTTCCCCATGGCAAACAGCTACGGGAGCATCAGGAAACCATTAGGTTTTTATGATGTTAAAGTCTCAGAGAGAGTCCAATACAATGAAACTACTTGGTATGTGACACAAGACATAAAAATAGTCTTGAATTGTCAGTATTTTTTTTTCTCTTGAAAACAATTTTTCCTTTAGTTGTGTGTCTGGAGCACACAGTGCATATTGAATGAGGTTTTACACTACAAAAGCATCCCAACCTGCCAAGCTCCTATTTCTGGTGTGACTAGAAATGCCAATGGCAATGAATCTCTGCCTTCCCCTTGTAGTTTTTATGTCCTATGTGTAAAAGGCTGCTTGGTGCCATCCTTCAGTCCTAGAGTCTTTTCCCTTAGGCCAGCTTTTACCTCAGCATCTGTTAGCTATGACAAAAAGGTAGAACCTAAGTCAGATAGCTGTGCTTTTCAGTTCTTAGCATTCATCTTATCAGTGGTTGTTGATAAAACTACTGAAGAATGGCAGAAGACAGAATTCATATAAAAATGATGGAGGCAAGGTTTGTTTCAGGCAGGCCTTGGTTTCTGACTGGAAAGGGAGGGAAGAGGGGAGAAGGAAGCACTCTCAGGCCTTACACAGCAGAAAAGAGAGGACAAAAGCATCAATACGCTCTTTCTAACTTAATGGTTTTTGTTAACTTTGTCATCCCTGTTCCTTCCTAAAACACCAACTTGTCTTCTAAATGTGGGATTTTCAGTAGTATTTCAATGAAATGTGGTATGACATAATTTATTGAATATACTATGGGTTTTCTCAAGCAACCAATACCCCACTTGCAAATTAACTTTTTGTTTGAAATGTTCCTAAGCTTGATCTAGACAGATTTCCCAGATCATATCTCAATTTCCAGATGAGCAGCTAGCACATGTTGAAACAAAAGTTTCTATGAGCTGTCACCTTCAATTGACTAAAACCTATGCTGTACAAACGTGTAACTGTTCATGATACCCTTTCTGTGTTCTGGTTATGAAAGTGTATCCCGCAGCTCAGGGCAGGGCAGACAGGCTGTGCTTTGGCCACTGGGGGTTCCGGTTGCTGTCTGTGTTAGCTCTTCAGAATCTCTGCGTTCAGACCACGCACCTGTTTCCAGCCCGTAGGGTCGGTGCACGTCTGCGTGCACAGATGAAGTTGGCGGGGGCACCGTGTGGCTGCGGGCCGGTTGGAGGGGGCTGCTGGCTCCCCAGGTCCTTCAGCGCTGTCTTAATACAGCCCTGTTTAATGCAGCTTACGTACTCGGGTTAAAAACACTGGGAGAAACAGAGCGAGCCCGAGACGGGCTGAGCTGGGGGCTGCGCGCGGTCAGGCCCGGCTCTCCCCAGCCCGCGCATCCCTACCGAGCCCGGCCGCGCAGGGACGCCGCGTTCCCCCGCGCTCATCCCGGGCCGGGCAGAACCGGAGGCGGGGAGGTGCCCGCTCCCTCCGAGGGGCGGGGCCGCGCCGCCGCCTCCCTGCCCGCCGTCCGCCGGCAGGTGGCCGCGGGGCGCTCCCTGCGCCCGTGGGGTGTGCGCGGGGCGGGCCGGCACCGAGCTGCGGGCGGGTCCCGGAGCGCCGCGGGGCGCTGAGAGCGGGGCCGGGGGGGGCAGCGCCGAGCTCCTGCGGAGGGAGCCGGGACGGGCGGCGGCGGGGCGAGGGCTGCCGGAGCCGCGAGGTTCGCCCCCAGCGGCCCGGGAGGGCTGCCCCGATCGGCGCCCGGCGGGGTGCGGCGGTGCCCGGTAAGCCGCGCCGGGAATCGCGGGGAGCCGAGCGGCAGCTCGTGCTTCCTCGCGGTTCGGGAGGTGGGAGTCGGAATTGGGTTTCTAAATATAGTAATAAAAAGCGGAAACTATAGAGATTGGTGTCGCTCCGTTAGCGAAGCGGCGTTCCGAGCCTGCGGCCGCTCCGAGCACCGCGCTGCGATCCCCACCTCGCCGGCGGCTCTTCCCCGGGCCGGCCCTGCCCTGCCCTGCCCGTCCTGCCTTGCCGCCAGGTGTGGGAGGGCTACGGGAAAGCCACGGCGGCGGGGAATGCGGCCGCGCCCCGCCCTGCTAGCCGCCTGCTCGGCTCCTCGCTGCTGGGGCTGCGTCGCCTCGTGCCGTGCTGCGTGGGATCGGAAAGCGGCTCTTCCGTTGAGCTCACCCCCCGGCAGCCTGGTGTTGCCGCAGGTACCTGACGGCGGCCCCCACCTCGGGTTCCCCGGCCCTCGCCCTTCCTGCAGGGCTCTCGGCGAGTGCCCCACGCGTATCCTCTTGGGATCTTCCCCGGCTCCGGGGCGGCAGCTGACGCGTATGGGGTTTTGCCGACGCTCGCGGTGCTCTGGGCTTTGCTGAGAGGGGACTCGAACATGCTTTCCTTTGCACGCTACTCGAGGAAACAGCTCTACACCCGTGCTGAAAACGTAACATCCATTTACTACGTCCTGTCTCCATTCGACAGTTTGAGCATCATTTTGGATTCGGGTCTGGATTCTTGAGGAGTTCCAGATCTCCGCAGCCATCGGCTACTCCCTCTCCTGAAGGAGGCGCTCCTCTGTGACTCTGGCAGTTGGTTCCCGCAGCTTTGGCCAGACTTCCCGCAGACAGAGCTCCTGAGAAGCTCAGCAGCTTCAGGCAGGTTCTTCATGCCTTTTCTTCTATAGCTGTGTAGGCAAGCAGCGACATTAAGTGAGCCTGTAAGAAGCTTTCAACGTCTTCCTTATCTCACCTTCAGGCTGTCTCCCAGCTGAAGCCAACCTGCTGCTGCACTAAAGCAAGGGAGCCTTTCAGGACAGAGCTACCATGCGTACAGCATTCCATACCTCCAACGAGGCTTTTCCTGGATGAAACCTAACCTTCTGGCTGCCGAGAGCTGCACTTGCTGGCTGATTGTTGTTTTCTGAATTACTGCTATTCTGACCAAAAGGTTCCTTCCTTTGCCTCTGCTTGCTCCATCAGCCATCCTCTTACTGAAAAGCCGTTTAGAATAAGCTGGTGGTCACGCCTGGCTCTCAAAAGGGAGATAGGAAGGAAAGCACTCTCCCGGCCTGCACTGTTGCCCCATTCAGCTGCAGACTGGCTTAGACTCCTGGTGGAGTTAATCAGTTCCAGCCACAGTAGGGGGGAAGGCTTTGAAATTCCAGCGCCTACCATAAGGGAGATAAGGAGAAAACTTTCACTGACATGCTAATCCTGCTCAGCAGCAGCTTGTCTCCAGCATCCAGCCCTTCCCAACCTGCAGCGCTTATCTCCTGCCAGCAGCAAGCACCGCGAGGGAGGAGGGCAGAATATACATGAGCATCACATCTTGCGTGCCAGAGCATGAGGTCCTGCCTTGCTGGGCAGAGGGAAGGCAGGCTGGGTGTGCTCTGTCTCACTGCTGGATCTCATGGAGGGCCTGGACTTTGCCGCCATGAGATGCAGCACGGAGTTTTGGCTGCCCAGGTGCTGCCAGTTTGCCTCCTGGGTGCGCATTGCTCAGCTCACTCGTGGTCTGAGCAGCGTGCTTCTGCTGTGCTTCTAGCTGAGTTTGGGAAAAGGCACTCAGCTGGAAATAGAGGAGGATTTGGTTCCCTTTGTACTTAATGTTTCAGTCTCCTTAGAAGGACTAAAAGAATCACGTGCCATTTTTTTTTTGGAAGGTTGAGAACTTTTGCTAAGTGTGGCTGTGCATCCAGCTGGTATGCATAAGCAGTTGTTGGATGTCTCTGCAGTGTGTGCTTTTGGGTAGTTCTAGAGGTCCCATTGCTAATTTTTATTATTGATAACAGGGAGAACTTGTGTTGAACGCTTCCCAGCATTTCTATCCCTTTCTGCAACATTTATAATAAACATTAAACTTCCCTTTTTTCCCCATCAGCACAGAAAACTGCAGCTGCTATGTCTGAGCAGTCCAAGGAAGAAAGAGATGCCCGCTGGGCTTTGTTACACCTGCTAACAGCACTGTGATTATCTGACCGCTGTCCCTCTGTGCCTGGTGACAGAGGCCTGGCTCCTTGCAGAAACCCAGAGAGGGGGAGAGAGAAGAGAGCTCTAAGCTCAGCAGCAGGCAGGGCACTGGCTGCCTGGCACAGCGCCCATCCTGCACCCTGTCCAACCTGTCCTTGGGGACGGGAGCCACCCACCCGCAGTGGCCCTGGGGGTTAGGAACCAGGCATAAATTCTTGCAGCTTGCCATTCAGTCTGATGTCTGAAGTGCTGCGTCATCCTTCTGCCTTTGAGAAAGTCAAACGCTGTGGGTGAACAGGCGAGCAGAGTTCTGCAGGGCCAGCACTGAGGGATTCGTTTAACTCTGTGGTAATACAGAACTTTGACTTTGTAAATGCAGTGTTTTATGTCTGGATTCTTTTTGCAGAGTCCCAGTTGTGAAGCAATCTGTGCTGGGGACGAAGGGCATGATTTGTTCAGAGCAGACAGGTCCCTGGTAAGTAGCACACAGGTCTTCCTTCCTCATGGGTGCTGGAGAAGGACCTAAGAGCCTCCCTGTTACAGGGCATCATGTGGGGATGTTGGGAAGTGAGGAGCCCAGTTCTTTGGCAGCAGAAATCACCCACTGTGCTCAACTGGGTGCAGCTATGCAGAGCTGTTTCCAAAAGTAGGACTTGTTTTTAATCAGCTGACTGATAAAACAGCATTGGAGAGGGTGATTCCTTGCAGTGTAGCACTGCTCATCAGGGAGATACTTCAGAGGTCTAACCAAGGGAAACCATGTACATGGGAGCTGGGACTTATTTGCCTGTGACAACTTGAGCTGCTGCAAACCACAAAAATTTCCTTTTATGCCTCCCTTCATTGTGTGAAGGGAGGTTAACAAAACTCTTAGTGGTGGATGGCTTATGCTTATCCTTTTGTGATTATTTCTGATTGAAGTTTTTAACACCGGAACATTTTTATCAAAATAAAACTGTGTATGTGCTATTAATGTTTTCCCTTTGTTTGTATGGTATGATAGGAAATGGCAGGCATCTTTCTAACATTGTTTCCTTTCCTTCAGTGACTAGAAATGAGCTCGGTTTGGCAGGAAGCACTGAAGAAAGCTGGCAGAGAGGCAGCGTGGTCCTTGCATGCAAGGTGAGTTCAACTGCACAGCATGGCTCCCATAGGACTTTCCCTCTTTGTATTACCACAGTGTGTGAGTGTGTAGGAACTAATGGGAAACAACACCTGAACTTGTACTTGTAATTCCAGGGCTGTGTTCTCAAGACCCTTTTTAAAACAACACATGGCATTTACAGTATTGAAGTTAAATATGTGAGGTATTTAAGACCTTAGTGATCATAGCTTCACTGAAATTTAGCACAACCAGCAACCTGTTGGTTTAGTTTATCTGAAAAATGCATTTCACTTATTGTAAAACTGGTCTTTAAAAAGAGAATCTTTGTTAAGATTTGCAGCGGTGCTGCTTTAACTCCTGGATAACAGTACAACAGAACAGGTTGCAGCACACTAACTTCTGCCTCGAGCTAAGCACAAGAGCTGCTCAGGCGAGCAGCTGTATCCACAGAGCTTTTGGCCTGAGCCTGGAATCATCCCTGCAGTGCTTTCTGAAACACAGCCAGCCACAGGCAAGAGCTTGGGTGCTGAAACAGACTCTGGTCAGCCAGCTTTGCCTTGTGCGGTTACTGAGTGCAACATCGTGCCGGCAGTAACGTGAACTCACCTCCACCAAAGATGTGTGCTTTGTGAGACAGCCAGACGCGTTAAAATCCCTATCAGAACAACGCTGGAAATGAGATAGGCAGAGAGGATTTAAACAGTGCTTTATCCTACATGTGCAAGCAGTGGCTGTCAGAAAAATGGGAAATCAGTCAGAAGATGGAGGACAACTTCATTTACAAGCATTTATGTGCCAACAATTATTAACTAGAGTAGAGCAGACAAACAATAAAACCTACTGCGCTGACTTAGAAAGTACTGCACTCCATGAATAATGAAACGAGCAACAGTCTACAGTTGAAACCCAGGTCAATAACTTTGCTTTTAAGCCTAACTAGTAATCAATAGGAAACAGTTTCATTGTCTTGCATGTCTTGCTGTCCAGCTGTTTTCTAGCCTGCTCCTTCCTCCATGTCAGGCAGTCACACACATATCTGAGTTAGCCCAAATGAAATGGCAGAGGTAAGAAGGTGGGAAGTCCTCGAGAGGAAGATCCTGGCCTACAGAATCCCTCCATATCTGCTTTAGGAGATGCTTTCCTTCTAATCACATTCCCTCCATCTTCCACTCAGCCCTAACTCATTTGCTGGAGTCACTTAAAAAGAGGAAAGGAAATCTCCAGCTGTAGGGCCAACACATCTTAACACAAGGATAAAGTACAAGGACTGGTTGATATTTAACAGACCTTCTCTAAAGAGCACCAAAAAAAGGATTGCATAGAAAGGGATTGGGTTATAACCGTAGATAAAAAGCCAAATTAAATAGCCAAATTCAGATAGTCATTAGATAAAATGTGAGAGATGAAAGTGACAAAAATATGGTAATATATCACCTATGGCATAGAGTATTTGGACAGCGCTCAAACTATGGTGAGGGGAAGCTGAGGTTTAAATTTATAGTATTTATAGTTCTGACCAAGTCTAGGAGTGTCATGAGATCTAATCTGAAATTTCTGACTGTCACCAGCAGAGTATAATGAGAAGGGATTAGGCAGGGTATCTGTGCACTATGGGGGAAGCCTGTGTATTCCTTGGTCTGGATAAAGATTGCAGCTCAGGGATCAGCATTTCTGTCTAGTGATTCTTTAGCATATGAGATGCTCTGAGCTATGTAGAGTTCGAGAACTGCAAGTGGAAATTATCTTATTTATGTTTTATTAATGATAAATATTGAAATAAGAAATGTATGAGACAAAAGTATTTAGAAGTTTTGAATTATTCAGAATCTGAATGGCTTTCAGACATCTCCTTGGCCTCTGGTCTGTAAGCACGTTCTGTCAGCATTATAAGTTGCATCAATACACGTGGCTGAAAGATGTGGGTGTGAACCTCATGGATTTTCATAAACCTTCGCAGGGATATACGTTCAGTTTCTTGTGCACTTAAGAGAATCCTTTCTTTTACTCATTTAATAACAAGTTCTTACAATATAAACTCACCGACAGTTTAACTATCTTCTGTGTCAGGTTGACCTACCAATGCTTGAGGCAGGGTCTGTGTCACAGGCCTGATGGCTATATTGCTTAGTCTTAAAACACAGTGGCACCTGCTGCTTCATGTCATTATGGTCAAAAGAAACACTGCCTTGATTTAAGTAATTTACAGATGTTTCTTTAAAATGCTGAGATGTTCTGATACCAAGCAAAGGTATGGAAATGTTCTGTGGCTTCAGAAGCCCCACAGGTCTGACTTTCCTCCAGGAGCACCAACCATGACTGCAGTGCTTGGGGCTGCCAGTTTCACAGATGTTTCCAAAGCTGCCTTCTATAGGTAGGGGCCTTCTCATGAATGTCCTCTCCTGCAGGAGGACAGAAGCTTATCACCATGAGCCTGACTTGCTCATGGTGCTCACATGCCAGCTGCTGGGCTGGGGCAGTGCTGTCCTACCTGTAGGCCTTGAACACCTCCAGGAACGGGGCATCCCAGAGAAGCTGGAAAATGCCCCATCTCTGGAGGTACTCAAGGCCAGGTTGGATGGGGCCCTGGGTGAGCAGCCTGATCTGATGGTTGGCAGCCCTGCCCACAGCAGAGGGTTGGAACTGGATGATCTTTGAAGCTTCTTCCAACCTAAAGCATTTTGTGGTCACCTGCCTACAAATGGGATTTCCTCTCTCAGTATTTGCCTGGCATCAGGTTACTGGACTGGAGCCCCTGTTTCCCTCAGTACATAAAGGAAATAAACAACTCTTAATATCTTTGCCATAATTATGTTTTCAAAGGCTATTTACAAAAAAATGTTTAACTTTGGCTGACCTCAGTACAACGTCATTGGGTGAAACTGTAGGGAACAGTTGGTTTCTGTGCAGCACAGTCTTTATTTTGGCTGGCAGTCTACTAACTCTGGGGAGTGGTAAGCTCATGCCAAGCAACGTCAGGCAGATCGTGCAGTTCTGCTGTGCCCCTCTGGAGGAAAGAGCCTGAGAAACTGCTCTGTAGGTTAGTAGCAAAGCTGCATGTAGTGGAATGTGGGGCTCACCAGTTCAGATTCTCAATCAGTTTGACTAAAGGAGCTGCTCAGGTGTGGGGAAAAAGATAGAGTTTTCTGCTGGCACGTTCTTGCGAAGCAGACCTGGAGGTCATGTCAATGTGTGCTTCTTACAGCACTTGTTCTGGCAAGGTGAGCAGATCTGGCATTTATGTAACTCGAGTCCTGCCAGGTGGTGGTTACCTGCTGCTTTTGTCTGTGTGAGGCTCTTCTTTGTTTTACCTTCTTAGCGGCAGCAGTTGCTGCAGTTAAATGGTATTTGTGTACAGACCGAGGAAAGCAGCACTGTCTCATCTGTTTGGAAGAAACAGATGCTTTTCCCAAGACCTGTACAGTTATATTGCAGACAGATTGTTATAGATGGCTTACAGCTCATGTCACACACTGGGAACTGCATTTCAGGGAAGCTTGAATTTGAGTCGGACTCTGCCTGATGACTGTAGTAGATGGACGTTACTGATAAGCACATTTTAGATGCACTGTGCACAGATTTATTGGAGTTGGTTTTACAGCTTCTGCAACCAATTTAGCTCCCCTTTGAGCTCACTGAGAATGGTGAACTATTTACTGCATTTCTGTGAAACACTGTTTTGACAGATTTCTCCAGAAGTAAAGAAGCACTGGTGGAGACAGTGCAACCCCTGGCGAGAAGCAGCAGCGCTGCGCAACAAAGGAAGGAGCCACTTCCAGGTTACGAAAACATGCTGTTGAACTGAATTTTGCAGCTGGGTTTTCAAATGTACCATGGGATGCATCAAATCCAAAGATGCCTTTGCGGGATCGAACGCTATCCGTGTGGAAGGGAGCAGGGAAGGTGACGAAGGGTGCGCCGGGGAGAAATCGTCACTGATAGCAGGGATGGTGGATGAGAAAGGTCCATCGAGCGCCATAGTGCTGGACTACGCGCACCGCCTCTCCCACGAGATTCTTGATCAGGCAGTGAAGCAGTGGGCAGTGACAGAGAGCAAATACAGTGACATCCCTTTCATTGAGAGCGATGTGCCCTGAGCCTGTTCTGGCTTCAGTGAGCGTCTGTCTGGCAGCAGCTCGTGTTTGGTGCTGGTGCAAGTTGAGTAAAGTCAGCTGTGACCGAGCAGAGTGCTCCTCTGAATGTGTTTGCAAGGTGAGGCTGGAAAAAATTGCCTTTTAATCTATATTGCTAGGAAACTCTGTGGAATACAGTAGAACCTATTAATCAAGTGTTGTTTGTTATCAGCTGTATGATGAGTGTTGTCTGTCTTTGTATGTGTTGAGTGATCAGAAATTAGTGTTAAAAAAGAAAATGGGAAGAATGCAACTGCCTTGCAACTGTAGGAGCACTGTCGCAGGGGCCCCAGAGATGCTTAGGAACAAAGCATGGATTATATTTATGTACTGCATAAAAAATATATGGCCTGTTTGTAGGTGACGAGAATGGTATGCTTGGCAAACTTGTTTGTGTTCCGCTGAAGCAAAAGCAGGACCTCTATGTAGCAAAGGCAGCTGCTGTTGTAACCTTCACTTTGATTCTCTGACCCGAGCAGGCCTACAAACCACAAAATGATGAAGGCGGTGAAAAGCATTTTGTAAAACCAAATAGTATTCAGGGAACCATATGGATTATGATCCTATTCAACTTCCACTCCTAACAGAACTGATGAGAAACATTACGATATTGATAAATAGTGCATTGTAATTAAGTTAACAGATGCTCTGGCTTCTGCAAATGCATGAAGGCTATTCTCTAAAACCTTGCAGTAAGAGTTTAATTACATCTAATTGCTGCATTCAGGCCAAAGCTGTTTGCTTTGCTTTTTTTACTTTTACTTTTTTTTTTTTTTTTTTTTTTTTTTTGGTCGGGGGGGCTGTATTGATTTCATGGGACTATGGCTGCGTTGCGCTGAGCTTTCAATCCAGCATCACACCCTCAGAACTGTTGGCCTTTGCCTTCCTTCTGCTCCTGCAGGCTGAGCACATCCCCACGGGTAGAGCCACGTGCACTGAGGCACAGCTGAGCTGTGGGAGCCTCAGGCCTGAGCAGAACACAGGGCTGTGAGTGAGCCTTGGGCCCCAGGCTAATGGGCTGCTGCATTCATCAGCAGTGCTGCAGAACTCACAGCCCCACTCCTCTCTGGGGTCTGACCTCTATTGCACTGATCTCTGGGGTTGGGAGGAGAAAGCAAACTCATCTCCTACCGCTCTGCTGCCATCTTAGGCAAAGTGAATGCCTCATAGGAAGCTTGTGTTTTTTCAGCACCCATTTGCTCCTTATTCTGTTAAGGCCAGTGTATCGGCCATGTCATTTTTTTCTGCATCCAAGTGCTTTCCATTTCATGTTTTCATTTTGCAGAAGGAAACTGCTTTCCATACTGGCAAACACTGTTACTATTTTTACAAGGTACACACAATCCTCGTGACTGATACAAGTATGATTCTGAAGCAGCAGTAAGCAGTAGAAAGAGGGACCATTCCAGTGTTGTTTTCAGCTTACTCTCACACGTGAATTGAGAGAGAGCTCGGCTGTTTTGCAAACTTTCTGACACAAACTGAATTACTGGTGGGAAGCGTACTCAGAGGGAATGGTCAGAAGTACTTCTTTGTAGCTCAGCACACGACTGCTGCTGACTCGCCTTGGCCAGGCTGGGCCTGGCCATTGGGCTGTCCACGTGCCATAGATGGCAGTGACTGGAAAGGCTGTGCTGCTGTGCTAACAGGCCTAATGCTAAATGGGTAATAATAAAGGCTTCTTCACCTAAATGGAATTCCATCTGTCTGCTTACCTCTAGATGAAACTATTCTGCAGTCTTCAAAAGCCAACTCTTAGTGCAAAGTTGCCACCAATTCTTCGATTTAGCACAGTAAAGGCACTCCGACAGGGGACTGGTGTGCTCTGAAATACAGACGTCCTTCTGTTTGGGAGTTCAATGTCTGCGTGCTTTGTCTTTTCTCTGTGGAACATACACAGGGTCTGAGTGGGTAGTGTGTGACTGACAGCATCCTAGGAATGGTTTGGAGCACGCTAACTGCAGCACAACTTTGTACCACTGACCTTTCTGTAGTACAACCATCCGTACTCTCAAATAAAACATACTACAATATATTTTTACAATATTTTTTGTGGAAAATATTTTCTTGTGGACCAAATAAAATTAAAATAACCATCTACTTATATGACTTTTATTTGGTTAAAAGGCACAAGTAGGAGAGGGTCTCATTACTGTGAGCTCCAGATGATTCACATCAAGTTCGGAAGCACACAGATATGCACATCACTGTTCCCTGGTTCAGCAGCAGCTAAAATACTGCAGGTCCCTCTCAGGCACAGAAGGGACAATCCCTACGCCACAGGGATCGCTGTGTTATTCCATGAATGCAGCAGCTGACAGTTATAGTGTTTGTACAGGAATAATGGGATGGACCAGTTCTTTTTAAAATAAAGAATAGCTGTTGTTTAAGAATCTAGAACATAATTTTATAAGAAGAGGAAGGTCTGTATTTCTTACAGCACCAGTGAGAAATTTCAGTCATATTTTCAGAAGTTATCCTAAAGGTGTTAACAAAGCCTCTCAGCTACTTTTCAGAATAAACCCAGGGTCTCTCTTGTAAATATGTACAGAGTAACAATACATGGCAGCTGAAAGGTTCCTAATTTTACTTTCCAGATTGCAGTGACAATGCAAAGTGCCATTTTTCTTCATTTTGCTCACCTTTAATTCTCTGAAAGTCAATCTAGAAGTTCACCTTGATGCTTGGATTTCCTGAACTTTGTTTCCAGGCAACAGCACTAGGAAGGAAAGAGCCCTCGGCCAGCACTGACCAATGCTGCTGGTAACAGAAGCTGTCCGATGCTGGGAGCTCTGTAACCATTCCGTGGTTCTGACTTTAATTCCCCAGTGCTGATAACTGATGGTATTGAGCAGAAGTGTTCTTCCTTTAATGTTAGTGGTTCCTCTTCCCAATTGTGCATTTGTAACCTGTCTCTAACTGTGGGAACAAGTCAGAAAAGGTACTGATGTACAATTTGCTTGAGTGTATAAAACTGTGCAGCCTTTATACTGAACAAACATCTGTAGCTGTGATTTGCATACACAATGGAAAAATAAATCTTGCCCCCTCCCTACAGTATGGTAGTGGTATCAAGTGGCTCTGGTTCTATCACAGAACTTTAAATACTGTTAGCAACAGAATTCAGTGACCTTTAATGAACACTGAGTGTTTTTTTGATGAATGTTTAAATGTTGATCACCACAGACACACTTGTGAGGATTTGTTGTGTTAAAGAACTTCAGGGTCTGTGTGGCAGCAGGCATTCTGTTTGCCACTATTCTGTATCACCAGTGCATCCAGCTGCATTCCTCCTACCTGTCCCAAGTTTCCCACCCAGCAGTCAGGGATGGCTCCAGCTCAGGCTGCTGCTGGGCACAAGGAGAAATGAAGCCAGCCAGCATGGTGCAGCCACGCTGCAGCCACGTGAGCATCAGGGCCACTGCCTTTGGAATTGCTGGACACTCGCTACCACCAGCAGCCAACGTGCTCCTTGGCAGGCAGAGAAGGCTGGAGACAGTGACTTCTTTGCTAGTGGGAGAGCAGGAAGAGCTCCAACAATGCTTGAAATCATGAGAAGCTCATTATGCAATTCAGTCAATGGCGTTTTTACAAAATAGATTTTACAAGCGGAAAGAAATGTGCTCGAGGCTCTGACAGTATTATGACATTTGAAACAACGTCTGCATCACGTGGCAATGCTGTACACAGACCAAATGTTAAATCAATAGAATAATTCCTTGCTCTCAGACTAATAATCATACATCAGTCTGACCTTTGATTTAAAAGACTACTTAACACCATGAAATTAGCATGTCTGGCATTTAACTTTGTAGCTCTGACTGTTTTAATGCTTTAAGTATATCTTAATTTCATTGCACAGAGAAGAATTGGAGGCCAAACCTGCTTCAACAGCCCAGCAACAGAGCCACAAACACCATGGGTTCCTCAGCTCCTGCTCCGCAGCCCATCCCTGAGCCACGCTGTCTCCCCGCAAGGTTCCCCTCAATGGCAGAGGCCCAAAGCTGAACATTAATCATTGCCTAACAGCAGTCAGAATAACTATTTGCCTTCAAGTCATTTTTCCCCTTATTAACCAGAGATGTAATCATGTTGTCGTTACAACTGTATAACAAAAGAGAATGGTACTGAATGTGAAAAATAGTTACAAGTCAGGCTGGCTAAGAGCTTCATCATCCTTCATCATGCTGTTCTTAGTTTTTATACCATAAAATGAAGCAGATGTGTAAGATGTCAATAGATGTGATCTCTACAACTTGAGATCGTTGTTTCCCAGAGGCTTGAAACAATTGTCCACGAATTCATCACTGACTTCTTCCAGAGCAGCAGGCTTCCAGCGGGGGGACTGGTCCTTGTCAATCAGCACTGCAGAGTGGGGAGAGAAACACAACAGTGAGTATGTTCTCTAACTGAGATGAGTTTTGGTTGCACCCAGATCTACGGAGATACACCAGAGAGAAAAGTCAGTCTGCTTCACGAAAGACAGAGTAGTCGGAATGCATCCTTCTACTCTACTGAGTTGTCAACTGTGCAGAGGGGGAGCTGAGGGCTGCCAGCCACAAGGAGTGCTGGACCACCCCAGAGGAATCGCTCCAATAGTGTTTGGATTTCCAGGGCCACACTGGACTCTTTGTAGAGAACAGGAGATTCCTATGGCTAATTTAAATGCATCAGATAAACTGATGATTGAAATAATCAGTGAGGAAGTAGCACAGCACAGTGTCATTGTGGGAAATTCAGGAGTATTTATTTGTGAATACTGACAGTGCTGCAGAGCTGTATAGATCTAACTGTGAGGATTTGTACAACTGTAGTATATATATAGTTTGTGCTGTATGCTGGGAAATGCACCACTGAAAATGAAAATCATCACTGAACGATCTGCATGGGAAAGTGCAATGAGGTGACATGATTCTCAAAATGCATTCCTTGTGTCACAGCTGCAGAAGGCATGGCAGTAGGACCGTGTTCTGCAGAAGAAACATTTCTCCCTCTATTGAGCACCACTCAGAGAACACTCAGAAAGTAAGTCTCATTCAAAGGACAACTTGCAGTAATTGCTGAGGCTGAGGACATACCAACATCACAACTTTTCCTCTTGTAGCTACCAAAAAAAGGAGGAGGTGTGAATCAGAGCACTGACCCCATTCTTCCTCAAGTTCAGGACTGAGGGCTCCTTGGATGCAAATAAGCATTGAGTAGAAATTCATTACATAGTTATAGTAGAAGTGATGTGGGTAATTCTTTAAAAGCAGTGTGCTTTTATTTTATAACTAATTTACTTTCTTACTGAAAAGTTATGATTCTACAAACTTTTTTACACTTTTTCACACTTCTTTCCTTTTCACATGTGGTGATGTGAAGCCATTGATTGGTCTGGGTCAAAACCATCCCAAATCAATTATGTTTATTGCACTGGAACAGCACTTATTATTTTCTTCAATTCACAATCACAGACTGGCAGAAATCATCTCATCTGTGCCCTACAAAAGACAGTGCTGACTGGAGATGCTTTACATTAGAGAGGAATAGGGGAGAAGTCCATTGCACACTGCTACAGCTTCAGATCTGAGACACCGCAGTCACTGCTGGTAATCCTCACTGGCACGGCAGCACTGTGCGCTCAGGCAGAATGATCTGTTTGGGTCAGCAGCCAGGCTGACAGCTGGTCACACTGAATGATCCTAATGGTAACTCCTATGAAATGTTTCATCTTTCTTAAATTCAAGTTCATATTTTCTAATAGTGTTGTGAACGCTCTCCTCCACTGCAATAACTTCTCTATATTTTGTTCTTCTCCAGCTTGAGATTTCTGCACAAGAATGGAAAGGGAATCCTGGGGACTTCTGAGGTAGGTGGAGGGAAGCTCATTAAGATAAAAGTAACATAGTGTTATGGTGATGGATTTGTTCCTGTGGTCTTTAAGGAAAAAGAAAAAAGGTAGGAATGAGTTTGCGAGCCTTTGTGCTCTATTGCTTATGTTCACTCAGCACAGTCAAAACACTGATATTTCTAAGCACCTGAGATTCTATGAGCTGCTATGAAAACTGTTTGCCTGCTCCCTCTTACGGGGGTGAGGCTGGCAGCTGGCAGCACTGCAGGGCAGAAGCAGCACCCCGCTGCTGCATGCAGAAATACCATCTCTGCAAGATCAGTACTGTGTAAAGGCCTTCACAGTTCCACTTAGAGTACACAAATAGGAAGGTAACTTCAGACATTTTGGTCCCCCCAGACTGCTGAGGCTGTAGTCACCTGGATGTGTTCAGGTACTGACTCCAAAAGTGCCTGCCCTTCTGATGAAGAAAGAACTCCAGGTCCATGGCAGTCACCCAGAGCTGTGCACTCCTTAATTTATGTACTATTCTGTAAATTGAGGGGAAATACAGATACCTGAAGTGTTCAAAGACCACATTTACTGCTACGTGGGAAGATCCCATGCCCTACAGATGAAGCACGATCCATGTATTAAATGCTTTAAGGTTTTGGCTTTTCTTCAGTAGCACAAATAACAAGAAACATAAATGAAGAGATGGTTTGCAGCAGGTTCTCAGTCGTCTGGAAGGAGATTGGGCTAAAAAAGAAATACAATTCTGACCTCAGATCAGAGTAGATTTAAAAACCTTTGTGTCAGCTTTTACTACATATGCTAGGGAAGAATACTTTTGTTTAAAAACATGGCTTGAAGTAGGAAAAAGTTGTTATTAAAACATGGCCACAGTTGCTGCAAGACCATCTTCAAAAACTAAAATCTGATAATTATATTTTAAGTTCACTTTGTGGTTAGATCCTTCTGTGGTAGACGGGGTCAACAGTTGGCTCTGAAGTGCTTGGAATTCAAAGAACAAATACATAAATTCATTTTCACTCAATCTGCTTGATCCTATGAAGTGCACAGCGAAGTCACTTGCAAATCAAAGATGGGGTGCTTGGCACCTTGTTGGATAATGATTTTTATGAGATCAGACCCAGCTGCAAAAATGACAGTCAGGTACTCCTTGACTCTTAAACAGAGAAAGATCTTACTAAAAAAGCAACAAACGTAAGACAATTCTGAGAACAGCATATATACAATAAGTACAGAAGTGCTTCAAGTGCTTATTCTCAGCCATCTGCTCAGCACAGCTGGATCTGTTCTTCCCCATTTCTGACACGATTATGCCTTTGCTACATCATCCCACGTCAGAAGGAAAGGTACCCAACCACTGCTCCTGCAGCTGCTTTCTTTACAGCCCTGTGTGGGATTTACTGTCTGCACGGTGAGAAGCAATCTCCTTTTGTCCTCTGCCTGTCCCCAGATGGTTCAATGGCACTGTGAGTTACAAATTAGGAGTTGGTTTGGTGTTCACCCAACTCCCAGCCTTTGAGGTTTGTATCTTCCCAAATTACTTCATTTCAGCAGCTGTGAAAGCCTCTATGGTGATTCAGAATATACTGTAGGAATATTCTCTCCTGAAGATATCATTATCCCATTACCACACAATGAAAAGTACACATTTCTCAACGTGTGGTAAAATTCTAAAAGGAGTCTCTGTTAATGAGTGCTAATAACTAATTATAAAAGAAGTTTGTCCTGTGTCGTGCAAACCTTTGAATCTCTCATCCCTAGGCTGTCTTTAATACAGCATTACTGACAGGAAATACTCAAACTAACCTTCGCTATACAAGTAGATTTTAAAGACAAATCTAAAGAGTGAGGAGGAGGTGACAGTACATACTTGACTGCATAACTGTGTGAAAACTAAAAGCCAGGTTCCCACCTCTTATTCCCAAAGTGTTATACAAATGTCTTGTACTGTAAGCTCCTTGGAGAAGAAAATGCTTTTGTTTTGTTTCATCTTGTGCTGAATAGTACATAAATAATTCCTGCAGTTTCTAATAGATGTGACATTGGGTTTTACAAACTGCGTTGAATCAGCAGCAGAATCAAGGGCATCTGTCCCCTGAATGAACCTGCTGAACTGCTGCTTTGCTCTTACTGCTACCTATCTTGAACACTGCTGTAAAATGCTGAATTATTTAATAGATGTAGTTTTATTGCAGTGAGACACCTTCACTGAGAGGAATTTTTGACACAGCCCAACGTAATCTCTCTTCTAAGTGTATTCTATGCAAATACTTGTTACTGACTTTCAGTCTTCGTTTCTTAAACCACACTAGAGCTGGCTGAGCCAGCTGTGTAGCAGCACTACCACTTGGCGCAGAAGGGACCAGCTTAACAATCACTAGTCTTGGCATTAAATATGCTTTGAACTTTCCCAATGCCCTCCTGAAAAACTTCTCAATGCTGTGTTAGTCGGTGGATACAAACCTTAAGGACAGTGAGATCACAGAAGAAACATTGTAGCTGTTAGTTTGTACCAAGTGAAACCTTTTGACCAAGAAAAGCCAAAATAAAGCAAGCTGGCAAGCGTTCTTGGGCTGTTGCTGCATACACTTCTATCTCCAGAGGTTAACACAACAGTGAGGTGGTAGATTATTTAGTTTGGGTAACCTCTGGTATGTGCACTTACCTGCTCGAACCCCTTCATAGAAGTCATGGCCTCTCTGAAAGACAAAGGACCAAGCTGTAACAGGATAAACTACTGATCCCCTCTTTCCTTTTCCCACTTCTGTCTGTCAAGCAAGTTCTCAGGATTCAGTTAATTTCTACTTGTACAATTATTTCCTAGTCATACTTTTTTTCATTAAAAAGTTACATAATCTGCTTAAACACAGCCAGAACTCCTAACATCCATCTCTTACTAAGCAAGCAGCTTTCATGCACTGCAGCTTGTGGGCATTCCTAAAGTGTCCTGTATGGTGAGTGTGCAGGACGAAGAGTTCCTCAGAGAGAAGCTCACCTTCAGGAATGTATTCTGCATTCTTAGAACAATTTGCAGTTAAAGGAATCCTGGAAATATCCAGTTCTTTTTGATGATGAGAAAACTTAACATTTAAATCTCTAAGGACACTATACTGGTAATGGAGCAACAATACCATTATCAGGAAGCACCTGGTGAAGATACCAGCAGGCACTCAAATGTATCAGAATTGGATACACCACATTCTCACATACATCTGATTCATTTAATAACATGCATAAAAATGTTATTTTAAAGTAATGTGCTGGAAACAAATGTGAGCCCTTGGTGTAACCTATGTAAAACTTGTCTCTGACAGATCTGTCCCAACCCTGGCTGCAGAGACAGCTCTCTGCTTCCTGCTTACCATGCACGCCTGGCTCAGTCTGTACTCCATCGTGAACACGTCCTGTAAACTCATGGAAGCACCTTCTCTGAGTTGTCTGAGAGCCAGCTTTAGGGATGTAGGTGACATCTTATTAATAGTCTGGGGAAGACATGAACAATTGTTTTCATACTCTTCAACTTAGATGCATTTGAAATTCCTTCTTCTGCATTTCAAACTTTGTAAGATGGCACTCTTGCCTGAGCTCTCCTCTACAGGCAGCCCAGTCCTCCTGCCCCCTGCCACCATGCTGTCATCCTCAGTGAATTGACCTGCACAGACTTTACAGCAAGTCTCTGGGAAGCAGGCCAGAACCTCTGGGAGGCTGAGAACTCTTCAGGTCCCATCACTTCTGATCCACTTACTGTCAGCTACAGAATCTAGCGCAGTTTGAAAGACATTTCCTAACCTCTATTTTTTTAGAAGTGGAGGCGACTGTTACAAGCAATTACGTTCTTTTTTGGAGAATATAGTTTTATATAGACAGTCTGAACTGCTCTTAGATGTTACTGATGCTGTAGCTAATATTACTATGGTGTAACATTTAAGCTGTTTGATAGAATAGCAAGGTAATACCATCAAGGTTAGCCACAAACTTATGTATTTGTTTTACGACTATCTGCAATATAACAAGAAGAAAATCCTGGGGAGAGGGGAAATGACACAAAAGATATCAAACCCTGGTGCATGTCTGTACAGGCTTCTTGTATGGGATCAGCAGACAGTGCAGTAATTCAGCCCTACCTTGTTCTGCTGATGGAAAGCCTGGAGGTCTTCCTTCTTCTGACAGAGCTACAGACTATAAATATTATGCAACAGACAGGATCTGTCTGAAGCATACAAACAAATGCTGTAAATCTGGCTCTCATGACTATCCTTCAATTAACAACGTGCCAGTAAACAGTAGAAGAAGTGGGGAGAAGGACAAAAACCTGGTTAATAGAACAGTACTTAGCTTCAAAGCCTTCAGGTCTGTTGAGGAAAGCAGCTACATTTTATGGTTGCTGATCTTCAGCTCATTAATCTAAACGTGCCTCCTTCTCCTGCAAACCCAACTAAAACCTCTTTATTATTCACAGTATAAAAGACATTTCCAGTTAATTAGGACATTTTTACCACTCTACTGAGAAGTGGCAGATGGAAGACTTGCCTCTTTACATTATTTTCATTGCAGACATTAGACTCCTTACCCACAGATTGGAATGGCAGCTTTCCAGCCATCAACATCAACATTTTTTCTGGCTCTCAATTACTCTTCATCCCTCTCCAGACACCAGCTGATACAGCAGTGACCCATTTAGCCCAGTTAAGCTGGAAAACATGTGATTGCTGTACGAGCAGGGTGCTGTGGAATTGAGACTTAAAAGCATCAGTTCTATTGTTCTCCTTGATGCTGATGTTGATCATTTTTGAGAGAGAAAATAGTTAAGAAAGAACCAATCCTGGTAAAGCTAACAAGTAGCATCTTTTCAGTAGATAAAGAACCCAGCTGTGCCTGTTTAATTACATCATGATATACGTCTCAGATGTGTAGCAATTCCTAACAGGACTCCTTTCTTCCCTTAATACATGCCAGCTGGTCTTACCCTTGAACTGGGTCTTTTCTCCTTGGTTTCAAGCTCTGTCTTCTATATCAGAATATGTTTGCTCAGACCAAGCCAAGTGGTATGCACAGGGCAACACATTGCTTCCATAGATGAAATGAGGGGGAAAAAAACTGAAAAGGGGAAGATTAATTTAACTAGTCATGTGCACACAGCACTGCTTATCTCAGCATATCAATGAGGCTGGAGGTGGAGGAGACACTGCTACAAATCAAGCTGAAAGAAGAGGAAGAAGGGAAGAAAATGGGTAGGTGGTAATGCAGAAAAATGAGTCAGTGTATATCTATAAATAAATCCTCTGTACAAAGAGGAGGAGGGGACTGGTGCTTGGGAACAGACCTGAAAAGGAGACAGGATAGGCTGGCGTGGGAGATGGAGTACAGAAATGCAAAGGAGTTGTCATACAAGTATCTGACATCTATGCTAGCATCTCTGAGACCATCTTGATTTCAGTGATAACGAACCTGAAAGCTACAAAGCTGAATTTGCAACATATCTGAGTTCTGATAAGATACTAGCAAATTAAGATGGCCAAATTAAATGGCTCTGACTCAGTGGAGTCCCTTACAGGAAAAACAGCTGGAACATCTTTGTCTCCGAGGCCATTACAGTTTCTGACCTGAACTTGAGCTGTTGAGGGTCCTTGGGGAAGGCTTGCTGTAAGTTAAAAGAAACAGAAACCCCAGAGGTCCAATGTATCACCTGTCTTGCAATAGGTGAAGACATTTATCGCTCACTTTCTGAAATACCAAAGCATTCGTTGGTCTGCACTAAACAATGACTCTGGATAAGCTCTGACAAAAGGAGCTCTAGCCAAAGCATTGCTGGAAAGCTGCTCAGCGACTGATATATCACTTACTGGTCTGTAACAGTGCAAATGCTTCTTTTCTTGAATTCACTGCTACTAGGAAACCACCCAGCTTCATCCCCACCATCTATCTCACCCACCTACTGCACAATCATTTAGAGTTTTAGGGATTGTTGTCTACATCCCTGCAAGCCAGCTGCTGTCAGCATGGTGTCTGTTCCTTCTTACAGTCTCTGCAGTGTTCTGCGTGCTGCACTGGAAGTCCTTCACTAACAATGAAGGTGATCAGTAGCTGCACTGACCTGCCCCCCAAAAGCATTGTGTGAAAAGGAACTCAAACATGATGCTTTGCAGATTTTGATCTCAGCACTTCTGCTAGGATGAAGTAAATACTTTACTGTGACTGGCTTAACAACTTTACGTGCTCCTTATTTGTGCAGTCTATTTTAGTATCAGACAGGTGGAAGCCCACCAAGCAGGCACATCTGGAAAGTAAAAACCAACAGTATTATAGTGTGGACAGAAGAGGATACCAAGGATGGCACAATTCACAGCATACGTGGATTACAGCAGAAGCAGAAATTCTACTTTATGAATGCTCAAAAGTATCTCTATATCCAAAATGTGGATGTGCCAATGAGTACCTCCAAATTAAGCTTTCAGTTGTGGCCTATTCAATAAGCTTGCTAATGCATATCAAAAGAAATAGCAGGAGAAAAGAAACAGAATAAACATTTCTATTTCTGAATCATTCCTGGTCTCTGCATTTAACAGCAGAATGCTGCTGTTCCTGTAGCTGGACACCAAAGAGAAACACATCAGAGCACATCCACAAGGACAAGGTAAGTATTTAATTCTACAAACATTTCTTGCTTAGTACAGAACATGTTAGAAATTTGTCTGAAGTTAATGTATGTGTTCACACTGCCAAACCTTGTCCCTACCAGAAAGTATTTTCTCTCAGCTTTCTGAGAGGACAGAAGCAATTTATGTTAATGAGATCTGATTTCTTATATGGAGCAAATACTAGAGAACTGTTCAGGCATGGCAGCCATTCATTTATTAACCATATAATAAAAAAATCTGCTATGAAGTCCTAAGAAATAAAACTAAATATGCAACAAAATATCAAAAAATATGTTTGACAGTTAACAGAATATGAATACAAGTGTAAAATAGCTTCCTCTTTCATCCCATTTTGCTTTTGTAATCTGCACCATAAGGGTGCAAAGTAATAGGCATGATGCCTGGCACAAAGATAATTCCAAAATTCCCTTCTCACAAATGTTTGAGAGTTCCAACGGCAAGATATTAAATGTATGTGTTACTTTGAGTAATTTTAGAACACACTGCTCCAGGACCATCCTGAAAGGAGTGGGGACAGAATGCCTAATTCTAACAATATTACATTGCAAAATTATTCTCCTGTCCAAATGAAAGTCTGTAGATGATGGATATGTTTTGTTTTACTATGAATCAGGGCTCTATAAGACATAATGATACTGGAAGAAGTAATGACAGTTTAAACAAAGCTTTTCCTGAGAAATGCTTGTGTTCTGTCCCATTGTAAGTAGTATTTGAACAGCCTGAAGACAGACTTTCACAAAGCACCTACTTACAGGTACGTAACAGGAGAAAGAGAAAATACAGAGATTACATACAAGCTGCTTCTTGCTTTTGAGGCTTGCAGGAAGCCTGCAGTAATACGATGTATTTTGTGACTAATGACTATAGCCAAGGGGCATTAAAGAAGATTAAAAACAACAACAACAACAACAAAAAACCTTAGATGATAAATGGCTGCTGTTTGCCCGGATGAGATATCTGAAATGGAAGTAAATGAACAACATTGTGCTGGCACTGTTTTATTCCAACCCCTGGCAATAAAATGAGAAGCTATAAAAGGAACCTTTGTTACCATCATCCCCTGATCGTGGGAAAAAAGGGGAAAGGGCATTTGTTTTTCACGAGATTGCACTTCTGTACAACACACAATGGCATTTACAGCTTGTCATTTCACATACGAATATTCCTGTCAAAGGAAAAGACTTACAATCCCACATAACCGCATGAGAACTTGAGGATCACAGTCCAGTGTTATGGAGTGTTGGCTTTTTTTTGTTCATTTTTGCATTACTAAGGCAGCTATCAACTGTTCTGCAGCAGGAAAGCACAGAACCAGCTTAAACCTCTAACAAAAATAACAGAGAAGGCATTACCTCTAGCTGCTTCATGGCAAAAGGAGAACCATCTTGCTTTAACTTTTGAACAATTTCTTCCATGCTATTTGCTGCAAAAATACTAAAAGAAGAAGAAAATTAGTAAGGTAACTGTCTCACTGCTTCAGCCTTCCTCTCTCCTATGGAATGCTAGGAACAGAGAAATGAGAAACAGAAATGACCATCTACCAGTGAACATGAATGTACCATGTAACATTTCCTTTCCAACTGAAAAATTACTCTCACAAAATTCCATCCACCTTCAAAACAAAACATCTATTCTAAGGTGCTATGTGTATGACTCAAGCTACTACATTCAAGTATTTAATATGCTGAAGACTGAAATATTTAATGAGTTTCACATGAGGCACACCAAAAGCAAATATTTACATGGCACCTCTTATCTGCAGAACATTGTTTCTGGATATATCTTCATGCTTTTACCCAAAAGAACAAAAGAGAAGATTTCTGGATACCTGTTAATCTTCTCCATATGCTCGTCAAGGATGAACTCCTTTTCTTGGTCAATTTTGGTCTATTTAAAAAGCAAATACATATTTGACTTGGTTATTTCAGCTGTCTGAAAAGCCCACCAATAGCAAAAAACAACAGAAATATGGTAAGATAAATGAACATGTAATGTTTGTAAGCTGTTTTTAATGAACTTGTTTTACAGTATGTATAATGATCTTTGTGCTTCATCTTGTGAGTGTTAAAGGTGCCATCACACTTGTGAGTGTTAAAGGTGCTGGCTCTGAGCTATGACATTCATGTATTTGACTGCGTGGTCATCTTGTACACAGGTAATCATGGTTATCCTATCAATATGTTTCTATCAAATAGACCAAGAAAGCCAATGTTGGTAGGTCTCCTCAAAAAACAGGGAATATAGAAGACAGGAAAAAGAGATGTCTGGTTTCCCATACAGACACATAAGTATTTATGCATGTAAAACAGAAAAGAGCAAAGCAGGAAAAATGCATGTATGGTTCTTCTCTCAGGCACTAAATGTCATCTTGTAAAGCAGCATACTGCAATGCAGAATCACTCCTCTTTCAGGGCTTTCAATTTAGCAAAGTATTCGGTGCCACTATGGAAATTAGCTTATTTACATTATTTTTCTATTTTATCTTTACTTATGAACGTAGTAATTCCAAAAGAGAAATAGGAGGAGCAGGCACTGCTCATTTTAAATCCAATCAATTGGGCAGCAATACTCAGGATGACTGATGAAAGGGAAACCCAGCTTGACTCCAGAAGTTCTCATCCTTTTGAAATAAACAGTCACTGGATAAACCCATTCATTGCCATGCCCACGGTTCCATGACTCTAATACAAATACCAATTACATGTTAGCAGTCTACTTCAATTTGCCTCCAAAAATGATGGGTTTGTCCACTGGGAAAACAGCACATTTTTCTCCCTGAAATTGTTGCTTTAAAGATCTCAAATGCTTTCAAGAGAACATATCAGCACTCTGCTAATAAATATCCTACAAATAAGTGCTGTACTCATTTAGACTTTTAATTGTTTCAAGGTTACACACATGTAAAATATTTGAAGAATTAACGGGACAACTGAAGCCCTTAAGTTCAGGCTTCAAACCCTGTCTGTAGATGGTCTGTATCACAGGAATGCTAAAATTCACATCAAATGCATAAAGGTAGCACAATTCTTCAGGCCAACAAATAGAAAACATCCACTTCCAAGCACACAGCCTAGCATTTCATATCTGGCTCTGTGACTCCTGCAGCCTCTGGAGAACAACTGTGGTTCTTCCCATTATGTTTGTACTAATCTCATTTGAGGATAACTCCCCAGCCTGTACTTGCCATCATGTTTTGCTACTGGCTATATATTTTGCCTTCTGCAAAGTATGCTAAAAATCAAATAACATAAAAAATAAGCAGCAATGTTTTTCCTGCATCATCATGCTACCAGCTGGGAACCCATATATACACACTGAAAGAGAAAGTTCGCTGACCACAGTAGGAATTTTCAGGATACAAAATGAATAAAAAGTGAAAAGAAAAGGCAGACATTTTCTGTGGGTGTTTGTGCTACAAAGTATTATTTCATAGAGTACAAGGAGTTTAGAAACCTATTATCTTGTCACCACGGAACAAATAATCAGTAGCATTAAAAAGAATTTGTACTTACATACACTTAAGTAACATTTCTACTTGATTTCAGTAAGTAATTGGATTACCTGCATGTGGTAAGAGTTCAGCAAGTCTGCAATATTTTCTTTTGAAGGAGATTTCAATGCTATCAGGTCTTTCTCTAAGTCAGGTAGCTATGGAAAATAAGAATTAAAAGTAAGTAAAATAGAATGTACTTTCTGAATTACTTCTGCTATGACAATAGTACAATATAGTATAACTACATGTGTGTATTACATATACATTTGTAACTATGCAGCTATTACAAAAAATAAAAATAATAAAATAATAATAATAATAAAAATCACACAATCTTTTGGCCAAGTCTTAAAGAAGTACCAAGTGAGCTGGAGTTCACTTTTCAGAAGTGCTGATCCTAGGTTTAGGTATGTCTGCAGTGATTAGCAAAAAGCTCTGCTCCTGGTGCTGCAGCTGGGGCAGGTAAAGCCATCCTGAGAGCAGGAAGCATGGCAACCACACAGTGCTCCAAGTGGTATCTGCCAGCCTGTGTATCTAGCCAGCTCCAATGGTGCAGTCACACTGACAGTCATTGGTCTTTTCTTGGCAAAAGAGAACCAGATGCCTTTTCTCCTACACTTACAACCACTTGAAGTAAGGAACATGATGACCGACTTTATCAAATATGCTAATTTTTACATTTTCTTACAGACACTGTAAGAAACAGGATATTATTAAGGAGACTGATAAGGAACACATTAATTGGCTGTTATCTATAATTGGCTGTTATCTAAATTAGAGACTCTGCAGTTGTGTAAATAACCTCTTGTTTCAGATACTGTTGTCTAGATTGCATCCAGAAAGCAAACCACTGATGTGATAGAGATACTAAGACAAGATGAAGGCATATGGTACCACTTTTGAAGTAACAAAATTACACTCAGTAAATCATGCCCTTTAACAGCAGAATCGTGGTGACAGCAGCATTTGCTCCCTCTTCAAGCAAAGCTGTCACAAACACTGCAGTGACACCTGAGAGTCCCTTACAGTCCCCATTCACAGAGTAGGGCCAGCTACGGTGACTGTACCTCTGCACAAACTCAAGTTGCTAAGTGCATATTGGTGTGCTGAGCCACTCCAAGTTGTCACGGCGATGCCATGCTGAGCCCTGGTGAGCTCCAGTTGGCAGCTTACCTTTTCTGATTCTACGAAATGTGTGGCGATGCCGGCTTTTAGCACATCTCTTCCTTTCAGCCTGAATCCTGTCAGTGCGAGCAGATAGCCGATCTTTCCTGGAAGCCTTGGCAAGAAATAACCACCACCTACATCAGGGAAAAGGCCTGTAATAAACAGAACAAAACAAAAAAGAAAATGAGGGGAAGAACTTGTCCCAGACATGCACGTAACTCAGCACACATTTCTGCTGGTCTCACTTCCCTCTCTAACTTGGGCACAGCTCTCATGTCACAATTTCTCTCTGACTTGGTTGCATATTTCTCTATCATCTAAACCCTTCCTAAAAGCAAACTCTTGAACACCTTCCAAATTGCATCATTTCTACTGGCACATAATTTACAGATGTGCCAGACAACTGTCTTCATTCTATTTGCAGCTCTTCTAAAATACTCACTGTCTTGTTGGCAGCCTTTCAGAGCCCTAAGTTGTATTATATCTATTTCATCACCTACGTTCTTTCTCGTCTATAGTCACTTTATGAGTAGGCTACTCTGCATTGTCCTTCCTCAGTTTGAGACATCCTATCTATAATGTTGATACAAAGACCGTCATTTCATTTTATGTTTCTATTCATCTGTCTCCTCTTGGATTCCCTACTATTGCAAAAAAACTCCTTCATTTCAAAATGAAAATTCTCTCACAAATCCACTGTGAAGAAAAGAAGTCAGTTACATCATTCTCCCTATCCATCAGGGCTGTAACAACCTTTTCCTCTTTGCTGCAATTAAAATACTGATGCTTTAGCATCAGTACTGAAGCATTATTCTCCCTATAGTCCCATGAATTTCCTTAAGGTTTCAGAGGACAACCCATCTTCATGATTTATAGGGCCCTTCCCATAAGTGGGAAAGTTAATTCTAAATAAACTATAAAGTTGATCGACTCAAGTCACTTTAGAGGTGAGTGAAACTAAACTAAATGAAGATCTCTTTAATTAGAGCAGTATGTACAAGCAGGGTTAGTTAAGAGTGCAGCTAATCCACTTAAACCTGCTCAGATGCTTAAGAGCAGTCTACTATAGCCTCTGCTGTACCCCATGCAAGGATCCCATCTTCCTTTCCTCTTCAAATTTTACTCCTCTTGTTTCCCTTAATTCTCTCAATACTGTCCCAGATCTTTGTGCTAGCTATTGGGATTCTCAAATCCCTGTTTGAAAAGAGACTGAATGTGCACTGGGCAGGCCAGGCCAGAAGCCCATGTCTGTAACACCAACCTGCAACTTGAGCTCTGACACAGATGCTACAACACACCTCATCTTTTCTTGCATCTGCAGTTGGAGTTTTGTTTTTGTAAATGAGTTGTAGAAAGTTACAGAATGGTTAGGTATCCAAGAACATGCTAGTACTCCAGCAGCACCTTACAGCCCATTTCTGACAATATACTTTCATCTCTTGTTCTTCCCACCAGGGAAGGTTTGTCCACACCCTCCCACATTTAAACTTCATTCCAACATTATCTCTACCAGCAGGAAACGCCTACCATCTAGAACTTTTATTTTTACTTCCAAAATGGCATATAAATGTCACTTTTTATTTATGGTGGTGTGTAAGTAACTGTGAAAATGTAGCAGCTCAATGAGCACTGTTTTCATTTCACCAAAAAGGTACAATGTCTTCTGAAAGTGAACATACAAACAATTCCACTAATACAGTCTCTCAGCAGCCAGACATTTTAAACATACACCACAAAGATCAAAACAGCTGAGCCCTTAAATCCAAACAGATTTCAGTGGTTTTACTTTAATTGATCCTAAAAGGGTTTTAATTACTTTCCCCTGTAAACAAGATCTAAGCTTTTACTTTATGCATCTTCACAGTCTATTTTTGCTTAAATAAGTCCCTGTATACACAGAAAATGTATGTAAAGTACATCATCTTTGTTAGCATAAGACTATGTGCATATTTACCTTTGAAGAAGAAAATAAAGGTGTCTTTATTATTAGAATAATTTTATAAGCAAAAGAACTACACTGTTAGTCTTTCTTAAGCAATCTTTGTAAACTTTGCAGCTAAGGAGGGAGGTGGGAATTAGACACAGAGAAAGAATTAACAAGTGTCCAGAAGGCAGACAGTAATACATTCTATGTGGATGCTCTGATGCTACCAGTATTGCCTTCAAGAGGAACATGAATGATCTCACATGAAGGTTCACTGTGATCTGACTTGAAGCCTATCACTCTCTTTACATAGCTCAGGGACATAAAATTTTCTATCATAATCTCAAAGTTGACAAAGCTTTTGTAGGGTCAAACAACAGAAAATAGAAGTTATAGGATGCTACTTAAAAGGAACAGTGTAACTGTGATCTTGTACATAATCTGTACACAACTATAATGGACCTCACAGTGATAGTCCACAAGAAAAAAGAGAATGTCAACATTTGTTTCATTAACAGTGCAGATCAGGTGGTTTGTCTCATGCTGAGCTCCAATTGTAATAAGGTTTAACTCATTTGCACTGGGATCTTCTGACTTTATCTGCTTACACGTTATGGCAAATCCTTAGTTCCTCACATCTACTTCTATTTTTAACAAACTGCATCCTGATAGTTTTTGTCAATCTAGACAGTAGAGCCTGTTTCAAGAACCTCAGTGACCAACAAAATTGAGACAAGTTCTTATCAATTTAAAAGAAAATACTTTCAAAATATGGTGATTTCCAGCTCCTTTATAACGTACTTACAATACAGCTGTTAGTTTCAGTCAACTGCATCTCATCCTGATTACATGAAGGGTATAACTTGAAACACACACTGCTGTATGATAACCTGTTAAAATGTACTTACCTATTGCTGTTTCTGGCATTGCAAAAACTGTCTTTTCAGTCGCAACTCGGAAATGTCCATGGACTGAGAGGCCAACTCCCTGCACATGGAACCCAAACCAAGGCAATGGTTACAACCAGGAAAAATAATCACAACCATTATCCTATGCAACACAAAGCTTCCTGCTTTGCTCTACAACTAAATAACGTTGGATTTCCATGCACATCTCAACAAAATATTAAAAGGCTGTGTAGGGTTCAAAGACAAAGCATTATACTGCCTCTAGGATTGACTGAAATAGCTTTCTATGCTTTAAAAGATTGCTGACTCACATGGAGATTAACTACAAATAGCCCAGAGTAACAGTAACTGTGAATCTTTCTCCATTTGACAATTTAGGGAGACACTATTCTTTTGCTAATGTTCTCTCATCTATCATTTTTGCACATGCTTCAAACTGTCAACAATAAAAAAACCCACTGCTTTTGGAATGTATGTGAACTGCTTGAAGTTGTAACTGTAACACCTTTAAAATAAATAATATTTATGATGATGATGATTGATGATGATGATTGATAATGATGATGATGATTACCAACTTTATCAATACTGAAATATTCTAAGCAGGAAAAGCATTACTCATTCAAACTCAAAGTCTGTGGTTAGAAACTCAAACCAGTTTAACCTGGGGACTGCAGCCCTTCAAGTCACAAAGAGAACATACACTGCTAAGTACCAAACCCTCTTTGGCTCATTTAGGCAGAAAGCAGCAGGAAGGCACAAGAAAAAGATGCATTTTCATTTCACAAAAGGTGAATTTCAATCAGAAGAGTGCTCGATAGGCAGACTGACATATTTAAAGAGAAACAGTTATCTGAAACAATTACAACTTTTCAGGGCACTTCCATCAAGAATATTGGCACTACTTAACACAACCACAGTTGGGTTGAAGGAGTCTCACTTCTTAAAGCTACCTACAGGATCCATATCAATATAAAATCTGCATTAGATTCTACTTAGAGAGAAATGCTATCTTTTGAATATTTCAACAGAAGTGTCTTTATGCCAATATTTCTTTATTTCCACTGTTTCAGCTTACTTCCTTTCCTCTCTCGGTTAAATTTCCAAGTTATCAAGTTTTAAGTAACACCTCCAGTTGTTTAGATATTAGAAAAATGGCACCTTATGCAGCTAGGGTTCTTCACCTTCACGATATTTTGTGCTTTCCAGCAAAAACAGTGAGATTAATTGGGTGACAGAATCATGCTGGCTGTATTGTATCACCCCTCTCTTCCCAGGCTGGCAGTTCCCTTGGTTGTTCCTTCTACCCTTCTTAAAAACAGGAGTGACACTGCCTTTTTTCCAGTCTCCAGGGCCTTCACGTGATTGCCACGACTTAACGAATACCATCAAGAGTGGCTTGGCCACTACATCAGCCAGTTCCTCAGGACTCTAATACCAGCTTGGACCAGCATTACATATCTGATATGCTTTTAAGGAGAGTGTAGAATATATTTTCATTTCACTTTTTCTAGAGTTCTTTGGGTGAGTTTTACATTACAATGTTAAAGTTATCTCATGCTAATAAAAATGACATCCATTTCCTTGCACCATTCTCAAGCATTCTTTTCAGACCTCCTGTACAGTTCTGCCCAGCAAAAAATTAATTGCCACCATTTATTCCATCAGGGTGATGTATGATTAAATTTGAAAACATCTTCAAGCTTCTGTTTTTTTCCCTGTAAAATGAGTAACTGCCAATCTCAGATTTTAATAGGAATTTATGAAGCTTTTAAGCTTCGAGTCTAATTTCCTGAGAAACAGACACTTAAGGTTTCTGGCTCTTGTATTTTATATGATATCCAGAGACTAAGCCATGTCCACACATGAGGAACTTCTTTTTCAAGGAGGCAAATACTTGAATCTTACTTGAATAGGGTACAATCAATGTCTTATTCTTTACCTGTCCCTCTCTAACTTGTCTGGCTGTAGATCTCATCTGAGGAGCAAAGGCAGCCCTCTGTGTGAAGCTTCATTCACTCATAAAAAAGCTCTAGACTTCAACCCTTCCAATACTTTATAACATCATAGTAGCATTATTTCCACTGCACTGAGTAAGGCCTTTCCTATAGCAAGAGAAAGCACAATACTTCTGCTGTTATTTTTATGTGTGTTCAGCAATAATGACAATATTTTTATAAAGATAACTTGAAATAAAATAAATCAAGTCCATTTTGCTTTTTCTAATGATAAACGTGTGGGGTTTTTTCTAACCCTGAGTACAAGCACCTTCTATCATAAAACATTTTCTGGCTTATGTTCTGGGCAATCAGAAGTGTACATAAGAGAAAGGACTGCCATGTTCAGCTGAGTACTGAGTAATGAAGAATGGATTGCAAACTCCATGAAGACAGCTTCTCTTCCAACTTTGTTCCTTTTTATAGTGATAAAAATAACTGTAGAGTTTTGCTAATAAAAGGTTGAAAGAAGTAATTTTCTTTTGAAAGAAGTAATTAAATCTGATTTCACTCTCTCATGTGACTTGGCCACAATTGGATTTGTTTTCTTTTTGAGATAGCCCTCAAGTTTTATAGCACAGATAAGAGTTTAATTCAGATGCATATTTAAATGTTTAAAATTGCATTTTCTCCTTATTCACTGTAAAGAAAATGGTACATCTATACTTCTTTGAAGACCATTTCAAAATAATCCAACGTTAAGATAAAACTAGGAGATAAAAACAATTTAATGCTTTGAAGGTACAGTACAAATTTCTTAAACTGATGATCATATGCTTTTGTATGTTGTATGTTTCTGTGCAGCTTCCCACATGGTTAGTGCATTCACTGTATGTGATTCACCTTCTCTGTCTAATCCAGAGGACAGACGTGTATTAGTTTAAAGGACATCAGGCAACAGCCTCAAACTGTTGCATCAGCAAAGGTTTAAATTGGCAGCCAGAAAGAATTTCTTCATGGAAGTGCAGGCTGGGCATTGGAATGGGCTGCCCATGGAGGAGGTGGGATCCCCATCCCTGGGGGCATTTAAGGGATGGGAGAATGTGGTGCTTAGGGGTGTGGGTTAGTGGTAGACTGAGAAGCATTAGGTAATGGTTGGGCTGGAGAATCTTCAAGTTCTTTTCCAACATAAATGACTTTGTGATTATATTTCTATGGTGAATCAGGCTTGATTCTTAATCTAGATGATTTATCTTAATTCTGGCTAGAAACTTTTTTCCCCCTGGAAACGGAATGCTTTCATTTTGCAAGAGATACTTAAAACTTGTATCAGAAGAGAAGGCGTTAAGTAACGACCAACCTATTTAACAGACCTTTTCTGTTTCTGTATGATTGAATCAAAAGCAGACATAAAAGCAGAAATAGTGGTCTGAAAATGTATTGTTAGAGATAGATAGGCGTAGTTATTAACATCTTAATATTAATAAATATAGTGTGTTACACCTTTACCATTAGAGTCAGCATATCTGAAAAAGGCACATAATAGTATAATAATATAAATAAATCTTTTACATATTTCTGGTCAAATTCATAAACTGGCTTATGAAAAAGCCAATAAAGTACCTGAATTTTACTTTCAATACACATGATTTCCTACTCATTGCCATATTTCTAATGTCATGGTGTGGCACTGTTTGGGAAATCTAGAATTGATTTCCATTTTTTATGGTGAATACAAAACCTTAATATTCTTCTAGTGGAATAAAAGTTATCATTACTGATATAAATTGAGCAATGGGATACAGCTACTATAAATCTTCAAAGCTAAGTTGTAGATGAGAAGCTCTATTATCTCCAATTGAGAATGACCCAGGTTAGTCAGTCAGAGAACACACCGTATCTAAGGAAGATACTGTAGAAACCAAGACCACCACAACAGAAAATTCCACAGAAACATACCACAACTAAATGGTGCTTATATTCACCTGCAGCATCGAGCACTGGAGTTACCGACTGAATAAACATCTGTTCTCAGACAGAAAAACAGACCTGTCTCACAGCAAAAACATAAATTACATTTCCCCACGTAGGGACTACACTGCAAAGGAATCACTGCCTAAGAAAGCATAAGAGATATTAAAAAAGAAATACAAAATTAATCTTCATTCATCATTAATGTTATGGGCCATTTCTAATGATATAGTTCATTTTTAATCCATAGATACGGGCAAGATGACTTAGTGAATCAGAGAAATGTGCCGTGTGCAGGATAATCAGGGGATCAGGACCAGCCAGCAAAGGTTCATGGAAAGTGGTCCTGCTTGACCAACCTCATTTCCTTCTACAACCAGGTGACCTGCTTGGTGGATGAGGGAAAGGCTAGCGTTCAACAAAGCCTGTGACACTGTCTCCCACATGTTCTGCTGGAGAAGCTGGCAGCCCATAACCTTGGACAAGTATACTGTTCACTGAGTAAAAAGCTGGCTGGAGACCAGGCCCTGAGAGTGGTGGCGAACAGAGTTAAATCCAGCTGGCAACCAGTCACTGGTGGTGTTCCTAGTGGGCAGTATTGGGTGTGGAGTCACTTAATATCTTTACTGATGAGCTAGACAAGGGGATTGAGTGCACCCTCAGTAAGTTTGCAGGTGACACCAAGTTGGTAGGAAGCGTTGATCTGCCTGAGAGTAGGAAGGCCCTACAGAGGGATCCGGACATGCTGGATGGATGGCCTGGAGAAGGTCAAACCTATAAGGTAGTCTGTGTTATGAATGCTAACTGGTATTTGGTGAATATTCCGATGCTTCATGGCACAGAACATTGCATGTTTCCAAAAGCTTACTTTTACATCTCTGCCACATATTCAAATATGACACTAAAAAAAAAAACACTCGAATTTATGAATATTTTGCATAGTGATTTAGGGGAGCTGTTAGTTTAGGGCTTGAAGTGGTGATGGAACACTGGAAAAGGGCTGTGTCTGCCCAGGGAGCACAAATTGTTTGCACCTGTGATCCCCAGCTGACCAGAAGGGGTGGGCTGAGAGTGGAGGCCACCCATGGCTCCTATAAAGGCCAGCCACTGAAGGGAGAGCATCTTTTGGGTTGCTTTGTGAGGAGGGCTGTGTTGTCAGAGAGCTCCTTCA